ATCTGACATCAAAGTGAGTTTAGATTGGTGACCAATTTATGGGAAACACAAGAAACTATTTTTGATTATATGACCATTTTTCAGCCAGTGTGACAGTGAATTCAGAGGTTTAATAAACATACAATAAAACTGACAATAGTGAAGTCTGATACAGTGGAACTCCATTTGTAGTGAAACAGAATGAAAGTCCTGACTAGTTTCAGCACACTGCGATATGCAAAACATGTTTCTTCTTATTGTGAAATTGTTCTGTGGAAAAATAAAAAAATAATTTCAAGAGGGTTCACTGTACTTCCACTGATACTGTATCAGGTCAGTAATTCAGTTGGACTAGATACCACAACTGTGGTACATCTGGTGGCTTGACAGTTCATATTCTTTTATCAATGACAGATCAAGTGTACAAAATGCTGAGTCGATGTAATCACTGGGATCTTATTACTGCCTAGCATAATTCTCCTCTCTCACTGGCCTAAAATAAGATTTTTTTTGGGGGGGGGGAAGTGGGAAGAGAGAAACATGCATGTAAAATACCGTTACCATTATCATCATTGTTAAGGTTGAACAAGTGGATTTTTGTACCTAATCTGGTATAGTTTTAAGGCTATTTTATTAGTGTTTGTTACTTGTCACACAACCAAAATATTAGGAGAAGCAGCTACAGTGCCTACTCAAAGTATCTGATTTTTTTCTTTAAAAAATACCAAATGGCCCTGGACTACACTAAATCAAAGTGCCCACACAATTTCACTATTAAGACTTTATTTATTTATTTTGTATCTTATGGGTCATATAAAGTGACTTAAGATTTTTTTTAACCCTTGTCTGTTTTACTGCTTTAGGCCTAGGAAATGGCTTATCCAATTTAAACGATTTATTTTTTTGTTTTAGAAAATAAATCTCCATCCAAGCTGACAATACGAATGCCAAGTTTCAGTTGGAAGGGAATTAAAACAGCCCAGTTCTCTACATCCCCTTAAAAAAAAAAAAGCAATCCACACAAGATACAACCAATTCCCTCTCAAGCATAGCCGTGCTAGAGCAGGGGGCTATACTCTATGCAGTTTTTGGCTTGAGCCTTAAAAACGCTGATGGTAGGATTACCACTATAGTGAAAGAGTGCAGGGTCAAAACTCGATAAACTGAACTTTTGCCAACAGAAACATTTATCTTGCCACAAAAGAACCGCTTTGATGAATCTGCTCTTATATTGACATCCTTCTTTGGCACTTCTGAATAGAAAAGAATTGAACTTGTAGGAAACCTTTCCTTTCAAGAAGCGCACAGCTCGTTTTAGGTGAGGAAAGAAAAACATGAGAAAGACAATGGAAACAGGAAAAAGAAACAGGCCAGCAGTTGCTATGTGAAATAATACCACTATGGCTGTGTGCCCTTTCCTTCTTGGCCCCAGAATTCCAACTGGACAATTATTAGCATGCATTAACTCTGTGTGGATGAGTCAGGGAAAACATCAGACAATTGCAACTGAGGCCTATTTTTGACCTCTTCAGTTAATTATGATTCTGGGTAATCAAGCTTGGATATGCTTGATACTTCTTATTGGAAACACCTATTGTTTGATAATCGAATTTAATAAAACACTACCTCATCTATCAAGGCTATGAGTGGAAATTCATTAACGAAAACCAGAAAAAAAACCCTAATTAATGCAGTAGGAACTACCACTTGCATTCACTGAACATTGGTACAGTGTTTTGGGCTTAAAGGAAGTAATTTTTGAACAGTAAGATGATTCACCAATTTTAAAATCCAGGTGCAATAGTACAATGAATTAATCAGTTCCTTTTGAATGCCCCTCTCAAATTTTGGAAAGTAGCTAAAGTCAACAAATCAAGCAGACTCATCACACAGTCTTCAAGAACTAATTTATAAGCCTATGCTTTGAGTGTGCATATGCAATATACATCTGACTAGCCTTATACTGCCATAAAATGTAAATACTCTGGCTGCATCTACTTTAAAGGAGCTAAAAGAAAATAAAATGATTTTCTGCAGGTTGCATTTGTAAAGTTTACACTTTTGTTAATATCTAGCTGAACTCAACTTTTCTATTTGAAAGCACTACAGCATAGGAACAAGTGGTATGCCCAGTGCTTATAGCATTCATCTTTCACCTTTAGTACCTGGGCCATTTCTGTTATACGTATTGGGGTGGCCTCACACTATCTTCTAATATGCCAATTTTCAACCCATCCACTTCACAGAAAACTACCAACCAGAGAAATCAAGCCACACAGTTATGTGGAGTTCTGGTTAAAAGCAAAAAAAAAACCAACCCTGGGCTACTATAGTTCAAAATAAAGTCCATGCAGCACGCCATATGATTTACAAATATTCAACATGGAGAAGTAATTTGTCTGGGCATTGGAAATAAGCCAGATAAGTCGTCTTCCCTCCCCTTTGAACAGCAGATCATTATGTGCGGATCCTGCACAAAGCCGGATGTCTACCTGAACTACAAAGACACTGAGATGGCTGAAAGCCCCTAAGAAAGTGAATGAATCTGGTTATACTGCAAGAGCATGTATCTTGTCTGAAATTTTGGGGAACAGAAAGAAGCTGTGCCCAATTAGGAATCCAGTTCATAATTCATCTGCAAACCAATTACCTACTTGTCTGTTTTACCTTCAGTATTAGCAGTGGGCTTTATCCATTCATTACAAAGCAACACAGGAATGGATCTGTACCTGCACACTGTGACGTTCTGTACCTCAAGGGAACACCCTGCACCCTCATATGCATCCTTATAATATGATTGTGTGGTATCCAATGCAAAATTTGTCATGTTGTGTGTCTTCGGAAGACTCATGATGCACTGAGCATTGTTCTTATAGTGATGTTATAGTAATTGTTGTTACAGTAAGGTTATAGGCTATAATTTCATGTATATACTTATGAGGCTGAAAATGTGTCCTCATGGCAAAAACACCCCAAGAGCAGAGGGGCAGTTCACACTTCATCAGGGCATGTATGGGACAAACCCAGCCCAGCCTCACAGGAACAAAGGACACTAGCCTAGGCAACAACAAAGGATCTGTTGGACTCTCGACTCACCCCCTTCCTTTGGTCAGTTTGAGACTGTGATGAGGTAATGTTCACCTGACTCTTAGGAGTGGAGGGGGCAAAGCCAAGAGTGAAGAAAGGACATGATAAAAGGGAGAGATGTTTGCCATGGTCTTCCTCTCTCTTCCACCTCATTCTAAAGACATCACCACCCAAGCGACTGAAGCGCTGATCAAAGGGGAGAGCCTGGCTGAAGGGCAACCAGCCAGCCTGTGGTGAGAAGCATCTAAGTTTGTAAGGGCATTGAAAGTGTGAAGATCAGCTTAGAATGCATTTTGCTTTTATTTCATTTGACCAAATCCGACTTGTTATGCTTTGACTTATAATCACTTAAAAATCTATCTTTGTAGTTAATACATCTGTTTGTTTATTCTACCCGAAGCAGTGCGTTTGGTTTGAAGCATGTCAGAGACTCCCCTTGGGATAACAAGCCTGGTACATATCTATTTCTTTGTTAAATTGACGAACTCATATAAGCTTGCAGTGTCCAGCGGGCATAACTGGACACTGCAAGACGGAGGTTCCTAGGACTGTGTCTGGGACCAGAGATATTGGTTGGTGTCATTCAGTTGCACACTCCAAGGACAGCTTACATGCCAGAGGCTGTGCATGAACAGCCCAGGAGTGGGGATTCTCACAACAGGGCAGGGTAAGGCTGGCTCCCAGAGTCAAGTATTGGAGTGATCTAGCAGATATCCGGTCCGGATAACACCAGAGGGGAACGTCACACATACTCTTTTCCCTTCCAGGAATGGGCACTCTTGAAAAGCCCCCTAGAACTGCTTGCTTTTCAGTTTTGTTAAGCATTTGGACATGCTTACTTTCAGCACACACACATTTATGCATTACACAGATATGCACAAAATACATAGAAACCAAGGACTTTTTAGGAGGAAGGTACTGATCTTCTCCTTCAGATCTTACTGAAATAAAACAGAATTTATACAACACAACCCACTGGATGCTTGGAAAAAGTGAGAATGGAGAGTATGCTTGCTTCAGGTCTAATAGTCTGAACTGTAAGAAGGAAACTCAGACGTAAATTTATCCTGCAAAGATAGCCATCTCTCTCTTTTCTCCTGATGTTCATGAAATCATTTCAGAAGAAAATGTCTCTTTCTTATTTGTCTTCTAATTAGGTTTACTGAAACTATATTGGACATGATCAAGATACACATGGTTTGTGGTAGGTTTGTGACTGACTTCTTACAAAAAAAAAATCCAACCCCAAGCATTTAGTGTACATTTATAAAATTTATTTAGATGCAAGCCAAATACATGAGCCCATTCCGTCTCCAGTTCTCCTTTACCTACTTTAACATAGCAGCTGAATTTATCTTCCCTAAGCCATATTATGAGGGTGAACTACCATCAAGGCTTTCATTCAGCCAAGGAGGATACACCAGCTTCATTCTGACATCCCGTCTCCAAAAAGCTGACGGTGGTATGTTTGAGTTTCCATGGGAATTCAGTGACTCTTTGGCTACTGCATATGGGCATGTGAACTCCACTGTGCAACCATACTATAAACATCTTGCCTTCCTGCTAAGAGCTATGAGCATAGCATTACTGCTTGGAAACTAGAATATGTTCTCTGAGCTCTACACAGTGCTTAATTAGTGCCAGGGCTGAGCCCCGGCACCTCTGGGCTTGGCAGTTCACAGCCCCGGCACCTCTGGACTTGCTGCACCAGATAGGAGCGCTGGCTATACACATAATGTTAACAAACTCATTACATCCACTGACACTTGAAGCCACTGCTGGCATAATTGACCCTCTCTTCTCAAATGTAGAGACTGCTTTAAAAAAAGCACACACCCATGTGTGCATGGACAGATATAGCTATTATCACTATATCTAACAAGATAGAGAGAGATGGACAAAACAGAGAGAATAAAAGAACAGATATTTCTTACCATGTGCCACCCAGCCATGTTTACAATGATCACAGGTTCTCAGGTTAATCTTCCCTGGCTGGAAACATTCACATGTGCAATTTACCAGTGTACAGCGGATGGCCTGGAAAAAGAAACAAATGCACATAAATATCTTACCAGATACTTTTTTTTGTTCTTTAAATATCTGCCCATATGGTGGCTGGGGGTTTTGAACATAAAAAAAAGAAAAGGAAAAGAAATTCTAAAATGCAAAGCACTGTTAATTCTTTCATGTAGGGTTTATTTTTCCTTAAAATGTATATATCAATATCCCTGACCAATTATAAAAAAGTCCATTCAATAATAATGTATCCTATTATTCCATAGTCTGAATAAATTCTTAAATTCTTTAAAAGAATACAGACCAAGAACTCAAGTTTTTTCCAATCAAGTGCCTGACGGAAAATGTTATTATAGTTATGTCTTCACATAGCACTATGTCACACTGGTTATAATCAAGAGTGAAACATGCACATAAAAATATACACAAAGGCAGAGCAAAGATCTCTTTTTTTCTACACCGTCCAAGCGTTGTTTTCATGTTTCCCTGTTGGGATGCACACACGATCTAATTCAGTTAAGTATCAGAAGGAAGCCACTGGTCTGGGAACTGGTGTTCCCAAAGCAGCAGTAAAATGAGAGAGGTACAGATAGGACTGGCTCATGATATACAGCACAACTTTCCTTTGCATCCATAATTTCTCTCTGATCTCCACACATAACACTAACTTTTAGTCCCATATAGTTATTAAAATATAAATGTTTTCCAAAAAGCAACAAAGAGTCCTGTGGCACGTTATAGACTAACAGACGTATTGGAGCATAAGCTTTCGTGGTCCAATACGTCTGTTAGTCTATAAGGTGCCACAGGACTCTTTCTCACTTTTTACAGATCCAGACTAACACGGCTACCCCTCTGATACTTGACACAAATGTTTTCCACTTTTTCTTAAAAGGAAATCTACTAAAAACACAGACTGAATATTGAGATTTAAAATCTGGACAATGAATACATCTAACTAAACCCATTCTTAAAACTACAGTACTTAAAAAAGCTAAGCAAGTTTACTTTAGGGGGTGGGGGGGAGGGTCCACAGAAAGTCAGCATAAATGTGGTGAGACCTGTGTTTCTAAACAGTGCTAAAGATGACCTGTGCACTTCAAACTGCTACCAGTAAATTTATGGCTTGCATTTAGGTGTAATTTGCATGGAGGTTTGTGAGACAGAGGGGACTTAGTCTGATCATTCACAGATTAACAATCTACTGTAACTATCAGTACTTCCAGGAAAATATCTCTCTACTGATTTAGATGCAATCAATGATTACTTGGGGGTTCAGCGGGGGAAGGGAGTTTGGTACCTATGACTGCAGATACTTGGGAGCTTTATGAATGCTGTTGCCTTACAAACCTCTCCTAAACTCTTCCACTTAAAAATCTGCAATACCTGTAAGTAACAGAAATGATCTTCTCTTTACTGAAAGCATCAGATTTGTAAGGAAAACAACATTAAACATTAGCATGGGCAAGCTAAACTCTTTGTCTGCTGACAATGAAAAGAGTTCAAGCTATTTTAAACATTTTATTTATTTATTTGCGTCAGACACAGCAACTTCAAGCCATTTGTGGTTTACTGACTCACTCAATCTGTATTTCTCTGCTCAATTTCTGATGCAGGAGTCCTTCCTCCCTCCCATCTAGTCTGCTCTTTTATTACCTTTTACTCTCAAAAGCCCTGATGGAATAAAATATCCAGATATTTCAGGGACTTATTCCCAAAGTCAACTGCCTTTACTCATTAGCTAGGTTGTAAAACATTGCTGTATGTATCATTGATTAAAATCATTAGTAATATGAAATATAAGGGCACAAAAGAACTGCTGACTATGCAGAATAATATATGTGTTTGTGGGTTACAAGGAAAAAAATTCTACTGAAAGGTCCCGTTTCATGTTCAATAGTTTATTGACTCAGTAATATATCAGGTCTCCTCTGGTCAGTAATGGTGTCTTTCTCTAATATGTTCATTAATTAATGAACTCCGTAATTAATTGTACTGCAAAGAGAATGAAGGCATTACAAAATGGAATGGTATTCCTGTTATACTGTAAAAGATTTTTTTCCTTATAAACAAATGCCTTATTTCACTTATTTTTAAAAACTTTTTTTACACTAATCTGTTGTAGATTTGTTGCATTTCATGTTACTGCTACGCGCATACACACACACTCCCTCTGAAATAATGTCATTTGCTATTAAAAGTTGACTAGAATTTCCATTATGTTTTCCCTACCTATGTTCCCCCCTTCTCCCCCCCAAGATCTGTAGGTTGCCTGTAAAAATTGGAATCAGGCTGAAACTTGAAATACAGTACAATTCAGCCCAAGAATGACTTTTCTCTCATCCCTTTGAAAATGTTCCACTTAGCCATTTTAAAATGATGAGCTGAAAAAATGTTTACCAGCTTAGAGTGTCTTTTCCTCTTCTGTAACTAAAAAATAGCTTCAATCGTGCTGATAATATTACTTTACTTAATTGACTATGTGTTTCCTATGTTAAGAACTTATAACAGCAAAATGACATAATATTTGAAAATTCAAGTAAACTTTCCACAAACATAAAAATGTCTCTCTTTAAAATAGCTAAATCAGAAAACCTTACATAAGTGGTAAGTACTTTTTATTAAGGTATGTAATCAGACCCAGATATTTAGCCCAGCCTTAACTAGGCCTCTCTTTTTGCTCAACAGGAATCTTGATACTTTAGGCCATATTCTGGCTTCAGAGATGCAGGTACACGACTATAAATTTTAATGTGAACCATGCGGCATTTCTGAAAGATAAAGATGATGGCCTGGTGGTTAGGATGTTAGTTTGGGGGCCCGGGAGTCTGGTCGACAGTGCAGCGGGCCTAAGGCAGGCTCCTTACTTGCCGTGGCTCTGTTTGGCTCCCGGAAGCAGTGGCATGTCCCCCCTCCAGCTCCTATGCGTAGGGGCAGCCAGGCGGCTCTGCACGCCGCCCCCGCCCCAAGCGCCAGTTCTGGAGCTTCCATTGGCCAGGAACTGCAGCCAATGGGAGCTGCGGGGTGACGCCTGCAGATGGGACATCACGCAGAGCCACCTGGCTGTGCCTCTGCGTAGGAGCCAGAGGGCGGACATGCCGCTGCTTCCTGGAGCTGCTTGAGGTAAGCACCACCTGGAGCCTGCACCCCAACCCCTCAGCCCTAGCCAGAAGCCCCCTCCTGCACCTCAAACCCCTCATCTCCAGCCCCACCCCAGAGCCCGCACCCTCAGCTGGAGCCCTCACTCCTCCCACACCCCAACCCCCTGCCCCAGCCCCCTCCTACATCCCAAATCCCTCATCCCTGCCCCATACCAGAGTCCACACCCCCAGCTAGAGCCCTCACCCCCCCCCACACCAACCCCCTGCCCTATCCCAGAGCCCCCTCCCACACCCTGAACCCCTCATTTCTGATTGTACCCCGGAACCCATACCTCTAACCCAGAGCCCGTATCCCCTCCCACACCCCAACCTCCTGCCTCAGCCCAGAACTCCCTCCTACACCCCAAATCCCTCATCTCCAGCCCCATCACAGAGTCTGCACCCCCAGCTGGAACCCTCAACCCCCCACCCACACACACACACTCCAACCCCTTGCCCCTGATCCCCCTCCTGTCTTCCGAACCCCTCAGCCCCAGCCCGGAGCCCCCTCCTGCACCCCAAATCCTTCATCCCTGGTCCCACCCCAGAGGCCTCACCCCCTCCCACATCCCAACCCACTGCCTCAGCCCAGAGCCCTCTCCCACATCCTGAGCTCCTCATTTCTGGCCCCACCCTGGAGCCTGCACCTGCAGCCGGAGCCCTCCCGCACCCCAACCCCCCGAGCTAGGAAGGTGAAAATGAGTGAGGGTGGGGAGAGCGAGCGACAGAGGAAGGGGGGATGGAGTGAGAGGGGGCAGGGCCTCAGAGGAGGGGCGGGGCAAGGGTGTTCGGTTTTGTGCGAGTAGCAAGTTAGCAACCCTACTCCGTGCCTAAATTCCCCATCTGCAAAGTGGGAGTAACAACAGAGAGGTGTTGCGAAAATAAAACGAACAAAGGTTGCGAGGTGCTCAGATGCTATGGTAATAGAAGCCATATAAGAACCTAAGACTATGGTCTTTAGTAAACAACACTTTTTTAAAAAGACAGTTTTAAGATTTGTTTAACATTTCTTTAATTAATCCAAAGCTAATGTAGTCCATGATGCCATCTACCTCAGGTCACTGAAGTGCCCAATACATAACTAATTTAACGGGGAGTCTTTTGGTGGGATAAGCCAGGAGAATGGTATATCCTTATGCCAATGCGCGAGGAGATATCCCTGTAACTTCCTTCAAATTGAAATTGACACACATACTCATTCTTGTCTGAAAATGCCTTTTAACATCCTGTGCTCTTTTTTTTATCGTATTTGCTTTAAATGAATCCCTCTCAGTTACAGTGAGTAACTACAGATTTGGAAAATGACCTAGAAAGCTGCATTTGGAAACTCTTCTTGAGATGCACACAGTCAATCAACGGAGGGGACGGACTTAGAAGTAGCAAGGGGAAGAAGGGTTTGTGTTTAACCAATAGTGTGTTTGTAAGTGATGGTGCAGCTTTGGCAAAACCGTACTAGGACATTTGTTAGTTCTTTATTTGCACACTGAAGGGGGAAGGGGAGATAGTGAAAGGGGCCTGATGTGATTCTGTAGCAGCTGAATACTGTATTCACTGTTGAGCCATCTGAATTACAAAGCAGACCCAAAAATGCAAGTGTACAACCATCCTGTCAGACATTTCAATATGATTTCATTCTAACTGTCAATGCAAAGTATTGCTAAATAGCTTTTATAGCTATGTAATATATTACTTCAAAGTGAAATGCAAAACCTATTTCTCTGACTTAGCTTTCCCACAGTAATACCTCCAACACGATAATGAAAAGAAAGAGAGAGGAAGAAAAGAAAAGAAATCAAAGACCCAACAGACTTGAAGAAAAACAGAGAAATACGGGATCTTTATGTATGGATTGATACAAAATAGCACAACTCCTCCAAAGAA